GAAAAATTGCAAGAAGAAATCGCAGAAGCAAAACGAATTCATGGGAAAACAAAAAATACATAAGAATCAAGTGACAAGAATAAGTCTACTGAACCAATACAAAATCTTTGGTAGACAGGTGTGCATCAGACAATACCAGAAGAGATAATATCGAGTCAACAAGAGGAGGTTATGTAAGAACAAGGCAACAAACACAGTTGAGAAAATCAACTAGACAAAGATAACCAAACCTGAAGTATGCTAATGTAGCAGTAGAGGAAGACGCCGTTGTCAAAGATAAGAAAAGTTCATAGCTCTAAGGCAAAATGAGACTTGAGGTTTGATGCCAATGCCTAATGGAGTAAACCCTATATCCTGGAAGTGGTATTCAAAGTAAAGAAATGTCCTGATGAATCAACAGAAAGATACAATACTGGACTATTAGCTTGTGGATTCTCACAGCAATATGGATTGGACTACGATGAGATTTTTGTCCTTGGCAAAGATTTCTATAATATGAGTGCTTATTGGTTTAGCAGTGATGAAGTCCTAGAAACTGTGGCAGATGGATGTGAAAAATGCATTTCTTCATGAAAAACTTGATCGAGACGTATACATGAAGCAACCAAAGGGATTCGAGAATAAAGAATAATCATGATATGTTTGCAAGCTAAAGAAAGCTCTCCATGGGTTAAAGGAGGCAACACGAGCATGGTACGAAAAGATAACTAAATTCTTAGTTCAAAGCGAATACTTGGTAAATCATTTTTTGGGACTCGAGATGGAAAGTACAAAAGAAGGGTTGTTCTTGTGTCAGCATAAATATGTCAGAGATCTCTTAAATAAGCTTAGCATGATCGAATTCAAACCAATATTGACATCAATTGAGATTAACTCCAAGCTATGTGCAGATAAAGGTAAGTATATGGAGCATGCAATCATGTATCAATAGTTTGTAGGAATCTTAATCTACTTGACGCTGACATGATTGGAAATTGCATACGTAATTGGGATAGCAAGCCATTTTATGGAAAAGCTAAAGAAGCCACACCTTGAAGTAGTGCGACGGATCTTAAGATATGTAAAATAGACAATTTATTATGGACTCCTTTACAAGAAAAATAAAGATTGCAAGGTCATTGGCTATTGATATGCGGATTATGCTAGATGTCGACACATACAAAGATCTACAACCGGGTACGTGTTCTGTCTTGGGTAATCTACAGTATCATGGTGTAGTAAGAGACAACCAACAGTGTCTTTATCAATCGTGGGAAAAATATAGAGCAACATCAATGGAAGATCAATAGAGAACATGGTTAATACAGTTGATGAAAGATCTACATCAACCAGTAAGCTATGCAGTGAAACTATATTATGATAATCAATCAACTGTTCGCATAGCAGAAAATCTAGTGTGCCATGCAATAACTGAGCACCTCGAAGTACACTAACAATTCATTCGAGAAAAGGTTCTTAAAGGGGAGATTGACTTGAAGCACGTAACTGGAGAACAAGTCCTATACATGTTAACGAAAAAGACTTGGTGTTTCAAAATTTGAAGAGTTTAGAACACAACTGGGTATTATAAGAAGAGAAGAATTAAATCAATGAGTCGGTGCTGAAGGGAAGACTTGAAGAAACATTACCTCCAATTACCAATGTTTGCCGACATACTAGAAGCTACTGTAAATTTAAATATTCAACCACCAAAACAAGAATAATCTAGAGAAATTTCGGAAAGTTGCCCACTGACATTCATCACCACCACAATGAGAAAATTCTAGAATTATATGCACTGACTTTACCTCATATAAACATGTGTTCACCTTTTGCATTTTAGGTAGAAAAAAGAGAGACAACAAGAGAGTGAGTGAGAAAGAGAAGTCACGAAGATTGTGGAGTGGATGGAGTGTTAGAGGAGAGGTAGTGGATTTATATGTTGTTTTTGCAAGTGCTTCCTTAATTAAATGTTAATTGTGAGAGAAATGTACTTAGTTGATAAAAGCAATTTTTTTCAATAAAATAATAATTTATTTTTGTTTAAATTCAACAAATTCGGAGAAACTTAAGTTGAGTTTGAAACGCTTTGCAAATATTGAAATCCAAACCAAACTATTTCAAAACGATTTAGTTAAGTTCAAAATTAAAACGTTGATAGATCCACGTGGACCCAAACTAATGTCTTCAAAAAAGCGATTTTGGTTCGATTCGACACTTCAAGTCCCAAGTGTCGAAACTTCGCCAACACAATACTTACCTTGTCTTGTTTCCATTTTTATTGTTTCAGGAACTCTAGAAGTCTTGCCTATTGTCTATGATTAATATATATTTGTATCTATTTCGTACTTGTGATACTAGTTATAACTTGATTGAGCTTGATTAATTATATCTCGCACTACACCTGATTATGTGTCCCTCTCTCGTACCTCTTCTTGTATATCTTATTGAATAGGGAGAAGTATTGTGATCCCAAGGTGGACGATTGATCGATGACAATGTCTTGTTGTGGTGTGAAGCTTAGATAATGGTCAATCGGGCTTATGAACAAAACCTTCTTGGTTGGCCATCCATTTCTATCGTATTAGACATTTATGAGCATGAATACTCATATATACTATTGAGTGCTCGGGGTATGACTAGAAGACCGTAGATGCCCACACTTGAACATGCATATATCACACACTATCACCATATCTCACTCACTGAATATTTATTCATGTCTTTTGTGTTTCTTTCTTTCAGAACTATGTGGAGAAAATACTTTGAAATAGCTTTACGGGCTTGGATGAGGTTGAGTCATGCATTTCATGTAAGTTGATAAATTCAATACCGTCAGTACTAGAAATGCATCTCCTTCTTTATTGCTAAATAAGAACTTACTACCATGTGGATCACTATAATGCCACTACTTTTGAGTTTCTATACACTGGCCATTTTTTCGACGGCGAAGTGGATTTCTGTAAAAAAGTATTAGTAAAAGTTACTATTCAAGTGTCTACACCAAGGACCGCGAACAATGGCGGATCTAGGATATTGAGTGAGTTAGGGCGGTCATTGACCGTTGACGCCGCAATAGTAAAATTATTTATCAATATTTAATTAAATAATATTTAAAAAATTTAATCTATATATAAATGTACTAAAACTTAAGAATCGTTTACATTTGAAAATGTAATCCAATACAATCCAAAATAGTAAGAATTTTTTTTTCAATCATATATGTATAAATAAGTTTCAATTTTTTTATGATTTTAAGCATGACAAGATGAAATTTATACATAAAGCATGATTGAATGGTAAATATAAGCTCCAAGCTTAGGTGAATGTTTGCAAAATTTTGAAAACAATGGTTTTTAGAGCTAGAAATCTTTTTAACCCCAAAAGAAAAGTAATTTTTTAACTTTTAAAAGAATAAGAGCAATTTTTAGATTGTCCAAATTTGAATTTTATAAAATAAATTGATTAAACTTAATAATAAAAGTATCTATATTATGAAGTAGTTAATTTGAGTCAATACAGTTTTTAAAGAAATTATTTCCAAAACGAAAACTAATAATATATAATTATTTAGCTATTTCTATTGTATCAAAAAATTAAACAAAAAAGTTGATAGATATGGAATTGAACCCTATACTTTTTATATACAAAGTGACCCCACTACCATAGGAGCTACTCTCCCTTTTGTTTAAGGTTAGTACAATTATATATTAATATTTAGTTATTATTTACTATGTTTAAAATTTAAAAGGAGAAGTGCCGTTGAAGGGAACCGAATCTATGTTTCTTGGATGCAAAGGTGATCACGTGACCAGACAATCTATACATCATGTAATTGAATGTTTGCAAAAAAAAAAAAAAAAAACACACACACACACACATATCTTCATTAATTTTTTCTCCCGAAGGATCTAACACTAGCGGCCGAGCTGGCTTGTCGGGTGCTAGATCCGACCCTGACCACGAGTGTGGACACTAACGTATAAATAATTTTGTAACCTCATTTGTTTTTGAATGCATATGGTTATGAAAGTGTTAATGATTTATGTCTACGTTATTTATGCAAGTTTTAATAAGAATTAGCAAGATCTTACTTTACGTGTTATTTTTTATTATGTTGTTCACTGATTCGATAATTACTAACTCGTGAAATTATTAGTGATTAATTTATGAAAGTAGTATAAGTACGACAAATATATATGTTATTAACAATTCATTCATGATGCATCTTCAAAAAATAATACTATCTAGCACCAGTAGTACTACAACATCAATTTATGTGGTGTAATGTGATATATAAGTTCAGTGAGATACAATGAAGTGAGTCATACTGTACATATCATTTAATACTCCATTAGTGCCACCTAAACTGGTGTTTAACACCATTTGTTTTAAATAGCATTACTCATCCTCAAATATCGTTCGAGACAATATGCCATGCATCATAAGCAGATAGATTAATGATTATTAAGCACGGGATTTTGATTAATCGGAGCATGTTTGACTAAGCTTAAAAGAAAGTTTACTTATTAGTAAATATTTTTAATTTTTAAAACTAAATAATTATTGTATTGATTAGACAAATAATTAAATTACTTATTTTAAGCGAAAAATATTTATTTTTAAAATAAGTAAATGTTATACGCAAAAATAAAAAAATAAGAGTGAACACGAAAAAAATTGCTTAATTTTTTACTTCTTGGAATTAGTACCTGTCTGACAAAAATAATCAAATTTGAGCAAAATAAATGAAAGATACGAAACTTGAGACTTGTCCAGAAGTAGTAAGACAAGAGGAAAGAACAGCAAATCAAAGTAAAGCAATCCATCGAATCTGTATCATTCTTTAACAGAGAATCCATCCGAATCCATTTTTTACTGTTTGAAATAATTTCTTCCCTTTTAGCCGCCAAATTCCAATGATGTCCGTCCTCAACAGTTGTATATAAAAACTTTAGCAGGGTCCCAAATTGAAGTAGACCCCACTCAAAATGCAAGTCCAAATGCAGAAGCCAAAGAAAATGCAAGAGTTCCCATCCACACCATCCATTTATGGCCATCTTATTGGTAATCCACTCAAAGGGATTAGGATTAGGATTCCGTTTGGGCTGCACCAGTCTTTTTCTTTGAATCTTTCTCTGTAAATCTATCATTATTTGCATAAATCTGATCTTTTTTTGGGGGATTATTTATTTATTTAGTTTTGGTTTAATTGTCATGGATTTGACTTTTTTTTTGGTTGTTTTTTCTAGTTATGAGTGATTGTATCATCAATCATTTCCACAAAAGTAGACAAAATTTTCCCATTTCTGTGACATTCTTGACATTGGATATTGAACTGCAACTTTGAGATTCATTCTTGAATTGAGGGATTCTCATTTCTTCATCTTGGAATTTATTTATCTTTTGTATTTTGTTGAATATTGGGGTTTTTGTTGTGGGGATTGGAGTTGACGGGGTTGGATTTTTCCACATGTTTGGTGGCTCTGGAATGAATCTGATTACCACAATTATTGGGTTTGGAATGAGTGCGACATTTATTGTTTTTGTCTGCACTAGACTCATTTGTGGGAGGCTCCGCCGGATAGAATCTGGCGAAATGTTTGAGATTGGCTCAAGGATTGATCTTGAGATGGTATGTTTAAAATGATTGATTTGATTAATTTCCATGCGTTACTAATCTTTGCATTCGTAGTTCTCGACAAATTGTTTAGCAATGATGGAAGAATATAAACTTTGTACTTGTGATTGTCTCAAGTTGAATTATAATCAAATTGCTTACTGTCAGTGATTGGTTTCATTACACAGTCGAACAATTTCTAATTCATCTTATCTGAAACATGAGGAATAGTTCATTCTAAATTGTGCTTGTAGGGGTGAGTTATGATGATGCTATTTGTGCAAATTGTTCTTATACTTGTCGTGTTTTCTTCATTCCAGACGGAAGTCTGTTAGTTTGTTACTAATCTTTGCATTTGCATGGCTAGACAGAGTGTAACACAGAAGATGTATTTTGTACTTATGAGTATTGAATGTATCAAAATTACTTTAGGTCGAATAACTGTGTCACATTACACAATTCGAACATTTTCTACTTCACCTTGTCTGAAACATGAGGAACAGTTAATTCTGAAGTTTGATTCTCCATTGGTTCTTAGATGGACTATTTGTATTGATGCTATTTGTGCAATGTGTTCTTGTACAAATTGAGTGTTCTTCATTCTAGCCAAAACCATGTTACTAATATTTGCATTTGTATTGCTTAACAAAATTGTTTATCAGTGACTTAAGAATTTATACTTTGTACTTTAGAATTGAATTTTCATGCTTTAGACAGTTTCCAATTCACCTCATCCTAAACACGAGAAATACTTCATTCTAAATTTCCTACTCTCCATTGATGCTAAGATGGACAAGTTATATTCATGTTTTTTTTGCAGTATGCTCTTATATTGGTTTTCTTCATTTTAGCGGAACACATTCGACTTCTAGCCTGCTAAGATTGTTTGCTAAATGATTATCTGTTCTTTGGGATTGATATGTTGTCTGCATAAACGATTTTTGATTTAATTGTCTTATTAGATTACTAAAGCAAGAGTCTGAGGCAGTACATATCAATCCACCATCCCAAGTTCTTTGTTCCAAATTACACCATGCTGTAAGAGGGTTTTGTGCTGCAAGGCACGCACTTTGATAAAAAGTGATTCCAATCTTAATGTGCAATACTATATTCCCCACCTTGTATTCTTCCTCACATTGACATAACTTTTACTCTCTCTCGGCTGGTATGCCCTCCCATTTTGTTCTTAGTACTTTCGGTTACCTTACTATACAAAAAAATGAACTGTGTCGTACACTTCATGCTATTGTCAACGTTGTAACATCTAGAATTTAACCATGTTGCATTCGAGTTAATTTAGTGCTCTGTTATGACAGCCAGAACACCGGGCTAATGGCCTTCAACCAGGTGTAGTTGCTGCAATTCCCAAGCTGATGTTCAATCGTGAGGCGTTCAGTTCAACAGAAGATATGCAGTGAGTATAATCACCAAATTTATTTAGGAGCTCATTTAGCATTTCTTTGGATTACTCATCTCATGTTGTATGCATTTTTAAACTCAAACAAACAATGTGCATGTATGTGTAAGCTGAAAATATTGCTGATAAGTAGCAGCACTTTTGGGCAGTCAGACTGATCAGAATGCAGCATCCAATTTTTGGAATGAATGTTAACGGAAATTTCGGCTTGTGCCCGTTTTGGAAGTTTGCTTATAAGTGAAAATGTAAATCTTAAAATAAGTACTTTTTTGTTGATCAAAGTTAGAAATAATCAGTTCTTTGTTTGAATGTAACCCTTACCTCACTGTCAAAATAAGGAACATTTTTCAAATATAAGTAAAAAATATAACATTCAATTGGATATAAAAATCATTTAGAATTACTTATTTCTAAGCTTAGCCAAACATGTTTCAAGATTTGTTTCCTACATATTTGGGGTTGATTACAAGAATCTTTTTTTGGTCACTCCGTTTGGCTTGTTGCTAGAATCAATTGTGTACATATATATATAACAAAATGGAGAATGAAAAAAATAAATCCTATGCATTTCTTTCTCATCACTTCTTCATTTTGTGCATATATGACTTGTCAACATATATCATCATAGTTTGTTTTGTGTCGCTTTGCCAATGGATTTCAACTTACTCGAAAGTGTTCAACAAAAGTTGAAACACAATTGATGTTTATCGTAAAAAAGGTTAATTTCTTTTGAAATGTAGGTGTACAATATGCTTAGCGGAGTATCAAGAGAAAGAATTTCTGAGAATCATGCCGAACTGTGGCCATAGTTTTCATCTTTCTTGCATTGATATATGGCTAAGAAAACAGTCTACTTGTCCAGTATGCCGGCTTTCAGTGCAGAATACTTTCGAAACAAAACATGTTCGGACAACTACATTGGCCGACTCCCAATCGTTTGTCAGCTCAGAGATTACGGCCGAACATTCTCAACAATGGCTGCTACCTGCTGTCGAGCATTCAGACGGTAATCGTGGAACCAGCCACGGGAGTGCTGATCATATTTCCATTGACGTAAACTCGGGTGTTTCTAGTACAGCAATGCCAAGATCGTAACTAGAGAAAAGACCGTGGCTTCATTTCCTGGTTCTGACTTTTGTTGCTTTCTTCTTGTTTGCAATTCTTCAGCTAAACAAGATTTAGAATGAAATTTCATGTCAGAGAAAGAGAAACACACAACATGTTTGTATATATTTGTGTTTGAAAAATTTAGGTTGTGATAATTTGTTTGAGAGTTTTGAAGACTATTTAAACATGCACATTTGAACATTATCTTGTATATAAATCTTTCATGAAAGATGACAGAATTTCCAGCTGAAAATTGGTCTATATCAGAGTTGATTATTGGGACAACAGTACTCACAATAGACATTGTTGTCGGATAGTACTGAATTTGACTAGATGTCATTATAATCATATTTTAGTGTTTAATTTTTTTTCATAATATTGTTTAGTGAAATAGAGTCTACCTTATCAATTAAGCCATTGTTCCGGCATGTTTGGCTAAGCTTAAACAAAAGTTACTTTTAAGTAATTATTTTTATATATGTTTGGACAACTTTTAAAATAATTTTAGGTAATTACCTCACATAAAATCTCCCCAATTAATTGTGAGTATAGCAAGAATGGTTATTAAACTCGGGCGACTTATCGTTTCTAAGCTTCCAGCTGAAATTTGGAGACCTTACTAACGAACTGGGCGATCTATTGGATCTATTTGGAAGTGAACATGATAAAATATTTGCAATAAATCTAATTTTAACTTTTTTTTTATCTCTTATTATTTGTCGAGTATCATAGAGTCCACCTTTCGAATTATTAGGTGTCAAAATGGGGTAATTGTGAATTCCACACTTATCTCGTTCTTAACTACCGAGTTTTTGTTTGTTGTCTTACTCGATATTTCTATTGATTTGTGCTTTGTTTTCGTGTTTTAGGATGACTTTCCCCTTAGACAATGTTGGTGAATAAAGTGTTGAAATAGAGGCAGAAAGCGATGAGAAGCATATGTTGAAATCAATGGACAGGCACTACTTGAGGAGAAGTACAATACAGGGGGAATTCATGGGTGAAAATGGGATGAAAAATAGCTAGAAGGACTCGCCCAAGCAAGCTAAAAACATGCCCAAACGAGAATAACAAGAAGCAGATTTTTCCACCAGCTAGCATCTTGCCCACGAGAGCTCCCCAAGCCAATCTGCTCTCCCAAAATACATGTATATATGAGATGTCTTGGATGTCAAAATAAGGAGAGGAACAATTGGAGGAAACAAAACGGGAGACAAATACAATTCTCCCTGCTAGGTTTTAAGCAAAGAATGACGAAGAAGAACATGATTCAACTTCAATGTTGAAGATTCAATCTTAATTTTGCTTCATATTTTATTATTAATCTGGTGATGTCATTCTTCAACTCTCTGTGTTTGTATGTGATAAACATTCTTGTCTAATTCTATAATTAGGACGAACAGTGATAAATGTAAAATATTACACTCATTTTGATCATCAAAATTAACATCTGTGTTTGATTTTATCAATGTGATACTTTAATTTTATGTATTTATCTATTATTTTAGAAGAAAATCCGAAATTGGATGAGAAATAATGAAAATGAATATAATTGCTCAAAATGGAGTAATGACACATCTTGGAAGATGAAGGACCTCATGCAGTATCTAAGGACTCAATTCGACCAAAAAGAAGAAACATGGACCAAATTGAACAAGTAAAATATAAATTACAACAATTTGGGATATCCTAGTTGGACTAGAATATTCTCTTGGGCCTCTATTGTATACCTAAATTAAGGCTTATAAAGAGGAATCTTTCATTCAATTAAAATGGGGAGGCTAGAAATACAATCTTAAAGCAAAATTACACATTGAAATACATTGAATCTTCAAGATTTGTATCTCAATTTGGGATTTGAAGGTTGGAGAATATACGTAATCGGAGATATACATGCTTCAGGAGATTGATGATTCGTTGTTAGGAATTGAGTGCCAAATAACAACAATAGTTAAGCTCTTTTCTTTATTTCTTGCACTGAACCTGATATATTTTTTAATCCTTTTGTTATTTAATTTTATGTATATGATTGGATAAATAATTGGTTGTTATGATGAAAGATGTAGTTTAGATTTAATGTTTATTTTATTCAATTGATTTCATGCAACTTTAATTATGTGTTAATTGCTTATTGTGTTTAATTGATTTTCAATTGCCTGATCACAAATTGGTTAATTTAAGGAAACTATTGAGACCGAGAGAGGATATATTTGTCTAGTTCGCGCAACATGTGACATAATTTTATATGAGTCCGTTTGATTGACTTTATGCTCTATGGAAAATGTTATTTTTTCACCCAAGTTCCTACTTTTGGGTGTTGGTTGATAACTTTTTCCATGAATTTGGTTACGTAACCATGTTTTCCTCAAAAATAAGAAAAATATTTTTTTTTAGGGAGTGGTGGTTTTTATTTTTCAGGTAATTCAATCCCTCTCTCTCCCATCTATCAACTCTCTCATCTATCCACCAATAAAAAATAAATAAATATAATATTTTGGATTAATAGCTGAAAGCCCCCATGTAAACGTTTCCGCATGTGATACTCCATTACCTATTGAAAATCGTAGAAAACCCCCTATTTGAAACCTTTTTTGCGAAAAACCATCTACCGTCAATACTGAAATCCTTGTTCATATTGCGCATGGCTGAAACAATAGTAGTAGCAATTTTTTCAACAACAATGGAATAATTCCCAATTACATTTCCTTGTCCCAAATGTTCTGATGGCTTACAAATGAACTCATCCACTCTTTCATGCTCTCTAAGGTCATCTCTATCAGGAGTAATGTAAGTCTGGAGCAACAAATCTTGGAGCCTTCGAGTTCAGCACCATGAGGCATGACTCTTACAATCATGTATAATATGCTAAACATCAGAATGCATATACAATGTAAGCCTATTGACTCCAGAACATGCTTTGATATCAAACTGACACGCCTCGCTCCTAATAACGCTAGTAGACCCGGAGTATGGCGTGCGGTGATGATAGATACCAACTAAAATTTGGACACACCATCAAGTCTGCTATAATATGCAACTTTTATAAATTATTTTTAATAAAATTTCAGCATTATCTCCCATATAATTTGGAATAAACAACCTGTAAACAAATATATACAACTCTCAACAACAATATCATATCAATGCTAATTCATTATTTCCTTCAATAACCACATAAGTACAATACGATATAAAGATAAGTTGAATTCTCAAACTTTTATTATGAAAATAATATTTAATTGTACATATGAATGCAAAATATGTATTAAGCCTATACAACTATCTACAAATGATATAGAATGACATAAAAAATGAACATGTGTCCCAAAATACTGACTATATGCTCTATGAAATGAGTCATACTAGCTAACTCTATCGGATGGCTCTGACTCCAAAATCAAGACCAAACTCCAAAAAATACTCGAAAACTCAACTGCTACCTGAAAAGAAAATAATAGAAAAATATATGAGTCGATAACTTAGTGAGTGGAGAAATTCAAAAATAATTATATTTTTTCATTTATACATTTTTATCAAAAATCAAGTTTACATCATTTAAGAGTCTACAGTATAACATAATAATAATCAAAAAGTGAGACATCCTCCTAATACTGAAAAATATCATTTCACAATCATGATATAATCATCAACTGAAATCTATAGCATTATCTCATTACATCAAATATATCGGAAAATCTACCAAAAATATACCCTGAATGAAATCTGCAGTCAGGTCATATACGCGTAGACTGCCCCTTGGATTAAGCACTTCCGACATGGGCTCATGCCCTCTCAGTTAACGGAAGTAGATGTCAATCATAATCAATTCTAGATCACGGCCAAAGCCCCTCAGTGCAGTATAGAATACAGCCAAGCCCCTTTAGTGAACTAGAAGCATATAATAACGGGTATTTTTTTGGTCGATATCAATATCACATGTGGCTCACATTCCAATTCAAAAATAATCCATATGCAATCTTTGAAATTCTACATATATAATAATGAAAGAATATTTTCATATTAATCAATCCTGTAATTGGACAAATAATTCACATAATTGCATAAAATGTATAATAGTATAATTAATTTATCAATATTTCAAAATTATTTAAGTTTTTCCACTCATAAGCTATTTAGGTGGCAATTAGTTTGGCTGATAAGCTGTCTCGATCTCTTTATTACCTCCTGATATAATAATAAATTTATTCGGGTCAAAACTCAATTCACAATTATAATAAGAATAATATGATAATCATTTCACTTCTCTTAATAATCTATTTTCATTTACTTGTTAGATTTCATCCATTGTTTTTGCCAACAATCATCTGCCAGTGTACATAAGTTTTCATATTGGTTCCAAATTGACAATAAAATGACAGGGAACATTTCTTTCCATTTCCAATTCGGCTGGCTGAAGTAAAAAAATCTAAAATCCTTTTGACTTTTGAACCTATTAAATTATCAATTCTCCATTTACTAATTCACTTTATGTTCCTAGTTCTTCAACTATCTTACAATTTTATATAATCAAATGGTAGTTGTACATGTGCAATTTAAACTAATCCATTCCCGAATTGATTTCTCTAAAAAGGAATGCAAAAATCTATACTGTTCCCAGCTCTTCTCTTCAATTTCTTGTTGTTCTATAGTTATATTAGCAACTTCACCAACTGTTAACTTAAGAAGAGTAATTTCCACGTAACTAATATTCCCAATTTACCTTATATTACAACCAACTGGAAATTAGACTGAGCAAAGTGGTTCCAAGCTTCAAGTTTCCTCTTCTTCTTTCTTTTTTTCCCATTCCTTTCTACTCTCGTTTCTCTGTCTGTGTGTATATAAGTTATGTGTATGTAATTGGATTAGAATGAAATGGAGTTGGTTAAATACATCCAGTCAACCACCGCTTGATTTTCTCCAATTTTGTTTACTTTCATTTTATTTTTTTCTAGCATGACATATTTGACCTCAATTTTGAAATGTTGACT